TCTCTCGGCGCTCTGTTAGCTATCCTGGTAGCATACAAGGCCTGTTCGTCCCTAGGGACAGTAGTGCGATCTACACCGGTTTTGTTTCTTCCGGTGACGTTAGAAGTGAGTTTAATTAATACACAGGAGGACTGGCGATAAATTCGTTCTCAAGCAGTCATTCATTTTTTTGATCATACGAGAATAAAAAAATAAATAAAAGGCGCTATCGAAAAATCAAAATCAAAGAAACTCCTTTGTCAAGACAGGAAAGACAACATGAACATGTTCAGTACACGATCTATAGTATGTAGTTAAACAACAGTTACAATCACATTTAATAATTAGAAACGGCAAATAAAGCGATTCTCATATCATTCTGTGCAGTTTTTCTCAGTCTCATGCTTTATTTTCTAATGAATAGCAGTGTTGTAATTGACTCAAATATAAACGACCTGGTTCTAGTTAAGTTCTCCTAAGATGTGTGGGAGCAACCAAAGGTTCTGGGTGTATTGAAATATAATATTTGCCGATGGGATCCTAATGGCGAACAGAAATTTGCCCTGTACCAATCATCCGAAATCCAGCGTTGTCGACATCTATCATGAGAATTGTGTTATCCGGAGCCTATGAATGTTACATCAACTGCAACATGTCAACAACGCTTGAGGGGGAGTAGGGATGTTACTACTAAGGAAGGGAAAGTTCACGACCGGAAACTCGAAATCGTTACACTTGCATAATATTACACAACTTAGCCGTATGTAGTTCCTTTGTTTATGTATAAGACTGTAGGGATCGAGGTAAACGGCTACTGTAGAAAAAGTCGGTAATGTCATTAGTTTCCAGTTCAGGTTGAAAAGGGAATAACTGTTGAAAACATGAGTGGGCTATGTTCAAAGTTGTTGACAAAGGGGAATAACTGTTGAAATCATGAGTGGGCTTTGTTCGAAGTTGTTGATAAAGGGGAATAACTGTTAAAAGAGCATAAGTGAGCTATGTTCGAAGTTGTTGATAAAAGGGGGATTATTGTTGAAAGAACATGACTTAGCTTTGTTCAGAGTTGTAGACAAAGGTAAACGTCTGTCTAAAAGTATCCATCGTTTTTACTGCTGCAATAAAAGTGTTTTACTATATTTGAAACAGAAAAAAAAGAAAATATATTTCAAAATTATCCTTTTTAATTTACCCAATTTACAACTCGTTTTACGACAGTAAACAAGTAAATATTTTAAAAAATTTTGGAGTGGTCGTTTTTGTACCTGTACCGTTAGTGAGAATAAATTGCTATGACAAAGGCCCATCCTGGTTTTAAATATGTCATTCATATACAAGTAAGAAACACATATATTTCGTCAGTGTAAATCTTTATTCTGAAATAATAATAAAAAAAAATCATTGTCAACAATAAATATAGTGCGGATGGTTATGTCACTACCATTCGTTGTTTACAGAAAAACATACATCAATACGTAGAAGGACAAACTAAAGTAACGTACTGAAAATATATATCTAAAGCATGGGATACATGTACCTGAAATATTACACCTAAATCAAGGGGTACTGTAAATACAATATATTTATAATAGAATTATCAAAATATAACACCTATAATATCATGAGATACGTAAAATATCACACCTATATCAATAGATACTTAAAATGTAACACCGATAATATCAATGGATACTTAAAATGTAACACCGATAATATCATGGGATACTTAAAATATCACACCTATATCATTGGATACTTAAAATATCAAACCTATATCAATGGATAATCACACCTATAACATTGGATACTTAAAATATGACACCTATATCATTGGATACTCAAAATAGTATACCTATATCATGGGATACTTAAAATATCACACCTATATCATCGAAATAAAATATTACACATATAACAAGGGATACTGTAAAACCTTTAAAATGGAACTCCCAAAATAGTATAACTATATCATTGGATACTTCAAGTAGGATACATTACCTTTATCCTGGAATATCTCATACGTTTTACCTATATAAAGGAATAACTTGAACCATGACTTTATAAGGGAAGGAATATCATTCTTTCATTATGGAATGTCTGAAATATTATATATATCATAACTTTATCATGTCATCTATAAAACCATTATACCTATATCGTGGAATATCTCGGTCGTATCTTTATTCCAGATTTGTTTTGTTCGTTTCCTTATGGAGAAGGTTTTCCACAAAATAAATTATTTTCTCTTAAAAGTAAAACTAAAAGTAGATACATTGCAACTTAAATACTGAAATCGGTAATTTTTTTAAAGATGAATTTCATTGAAATGCCACTTTCATTCTCGACAACACTTAGAGCCTTGACGTCACCCAATGTTAACAGAGCAGGGACTCTGAGACACTGTGGGCACTCTTAAGAAGAGCGAGCACTCAGAACTGGATCTGGAGCGGGTGTCCTGAAGCGGATCTCGAGCGGGCTCTCTGAACGGCTGGCTGCAGAAAACGTGAGTGAATTCTTACATAGAAATCAGCACGACATAAAAAAACTATCTATAAAATGACAATGCAAGAATGTAATTGGAATATTTATAGAGCCAGCAGTTGGGTATCCACGTATATCACTTGTACACTGATGTATTTAAAACAAGGCACTTATATTAGCTCAATTCTATTGAAATAAGAAACTTTGCTCCATATTTTCTCGTGAGATGAAATATCTAAAAAATAAAATAAAAAATAAAATAAAAAAAATTTAACGAGTAGGAGTTTTTAACCACTAACCAAGTTCATCAACTTCGTGTTACACAATTTTACAGAAAGAATCACACTGATTCAAAAACAAACAGAGGAAATTTATTAGTATCCCGTCATAGAAAAAAATATTGTGGTATCTGAAACAATAAGACGATTCCTCTTGTAAAAAAGACAGATACTTCCTTACTTGGATTTGGCACTCGTTTCCAAGACAGTTTCACAGTTTAAAAAATGTAAATCTTTATTTAGGGTAGTGCTTTTGACTAAGGTAATTTGTTGAAAACTAAAATATGACTCTTGGAACATTGTCAGATAATGCTAGCGTGTTAAGGCAGATAATTATTATTCAAATTACAGGTGTGATGTGCAAAGTACCACATATCCTAAACTCCAACACAAATCACCGATATAATGTGTAACGTAGAATAAGTCTAACTCTTATACAGGTCTCAGGTATAATTGGTTAGGTAACATATGCCCTTAACTCTAACACAAACCAAAAGCAGAACTGGAACGGTAGATTATTTCACTACCTCTAACTCACAGGTATGATTGGTTAGGTAACATGTGCCCTTAACTCTAACACAAACCACAAGCAGAACTGGAAAGGTAGCGTATTTCACTACCTCTAAATCACAGGTATAGTTATTAAGGTAGCACATGGCCCTAACTTTTACACAAACCAGAGGTAATGTGTCAGGTAGTAAATCGCCTAAACACAAATCATGAGTTTAATGTCTATGTTGGTAGTGTATAACCTAACATTATAGGTCAGCTCACACTTTTTCTATGAATTGTCATCGAATAGAACTGATAGAGCCATTCAAAGCATATAGTTTGTAATATCTCATTGATATCACAGTTGTATGATAAAGCGATCAAAGTAATAATACAATATTTTATAAAATATCATAATTCAAATGATTATCATGACCAATGTAAAATGCGGTCGTGTATAATACAACAAGAATATGACACTTATTTGATATAAATTGTATACAGTATAGGCAAGTGTATTGGAATGTAAAAAATACATGAATCAAAATATAGGCAGGATTTTAAATGTAAAAAAAAAGTAATAAAAATATTGCAGTAGTAAAATAAAAAGTACATTGTATATAGCCTACTAAATCACAGAAGAGCATTGTTTTTACTTTTTCTAAATGTGAAATCTTCTATTTCAGTTCCTTATGGCACCAAGTCAAAATGTTTTCTTAAACATTCTTAATTCAATGATTGTGTCTAATATAAGATTAAATTTTAAAAAACCGCTCATAAACTACATGTATATACACAAATGATCGGTGTAAACTAACAAAACATATTTAAACAACATTAAAGTAAGATAATTACGACAAGGTAAAACGTAGTATGATATTTATAACATAGAAAATTGTCATCACTATAAACGACAAATTAATGATAAAATATTACCCAGGAACCACTACAATAAGTCTTTTATATCACACAAGATACACTTATTATGCAAGGCTATGGAATATGAATGACCACATGAACAAAAAAATATACATTTTACATATCTTGATATATATGGAAACTCAGTAATAAATGTCAAAACATGAAAATGTTTGTACATAGAAATATTTGGAATAAAAAACAAAAACAAATCAAATCTGGAGCGTTTTTGACAGTACAAATATAATTCGAGTATATTTTTGTATTTTGCCGCCAGTTCAAGACTTGTATTATTGTCACTATCGCTGTTCAACCTTTGAGGACGTTGCATTACTTGGATTTGACCTAGGTTTACAAGGTGTGTAACGTCGATGAAGCAGCAGACGAACTTATGTGATAAAAAAACCGTGAAAAGTTTATTTCAAACGGACGAAATGTGTAATGAAAAAAAAATGGCCCAATCACATTTCATTTATAAAATATTTATTTCAATATGCATTCATAATTTCTATAAATTCTGTGCATGGCGTAACAAATAAGTATGAAAACTGATTTAATGTTTATTTTAAAATTAGTATTTTTTTGTATTAATGTTCCCTATATTTTCGTAAATTTTAACTATGGGAACAAGGGTGTTCATCAACAATACTTTTTAAATAAAAGATATGTTAAGTTCAAGTCATTATCGCTTGTAACAAAACGGAAGCTTAACAAAGACAGAAGTCACAAACATGATATTTTACAAGTGAAATACCAATAGATATTTTTGAATTTCAAAGGAAATGTTAAAGATTGTTTGATATTTGGTGATTTAATTAATATTATCAAGACAGTTATAATGTAATGTTAAACGTCCTTAAAAATAAAAGTATACGCTGATAAATCGTTTGACACAGCCGAAATAAAATACCTTGTGTTTCAACATGACATCAAGTGCGTAGATCAAACATTATGTTTTGCATTTTTTTCGTGATTAAATGTTTCAACGGGGACTTTATAGAAGCACACAAGATGAGGATTGTTGATTTGCGGCAGGCCTCTGCTGCTGCTGGTGAACATTTCCATAAGGTTGAGACTGTGCATAGGGCTGAGCTTGTTGGTAGGGCTGGGCTTGTTGGTATGGTTGAGGTTGTGCCTGTTGTTGGACGTGTGCGAACTCTGGGTTCGGTTTATATGGCGGAGGTGCCGTTTTTGGGACTGGCTCTGATTCGTCGTCTTCCTTTTTTGGAGGTTCATATCCAATCGTATTAGGCACATGTTCTATGACCTTTCCTATGAGCTCATCAAATTTGTCTCCTGACCAAGTCATCTGGACTTTCTCATCACGGTGGCAATTGATGTACAGAAGCTGTGTGAAGACCATGCTCATAGGCCCACTAGGTGGCCATTCCATATTTTCCAACAGTAGAGGGACCACAGGCTTCTTAAGGGAATCAGCCAGACTGACCTCTCTTCGACAATTGGCCGAGACTGCATACTTGGTGGTCACACAGGTAAGAACAATCTTACAGCCTCGGACACCTCGGTCAATCTTGTCATACAGGGAGTCCCCGCCTCCCATCTGGTAGATATCCATCCAGCAGGTTAAACCGAGCTCACAGAGTCTCTTGTAGAGCTGTTTGATCTGTGTCTGTTTACCCCACTGGTACGACAGAAACACGTCTGGGGACTTACTGGTGTTATCCTAATAATGAGGTCAAAGTTAAGACAAAAGTATAATCATGCATGTTTATCAGTTTATAAACAAATCAAATATCAACTTTGGTTCATCACTTTCTCTAACTTACCCTATGAGCATGCCTATCGTTTTAGACAAACAGTGTCGATACCAATATACATGATCTTATTAACTACAAATACATAAATGTGTTATCTTACAAAATATATAATAAATTCTTTCACTATGGTATTAACAGTTTGATTATAAGACATAAGAATATAAATTCGTCTGCATGATATTCTTTCAGATAAATCGTGTTTGACAGCTGTTAGAATGAATAGTGCCATAAGTTTGATATTTTCATTTTGTCAAAGGTAGCTGTAACTTTGTTATACATTGTACAGGAGAGGTTGTTTAGGTTATTCATAGTATATACCTTCGCAGAACCTGAATTTGAATCCCCCTGTCCTCCAGTGTTTGGCTTTTTCGTAATGACTATTTCTTCTGCTACAGGAACCCACCAGTTCTTGTACTCTTTTGGTATAAAAATCAACACAAGCTAGTAAGGAAGGCGTAAGTATGTTTAAATTAAGCCATTAAAGGACTTGTTTTTCAATCTATAATTATGATACATCTGGTGAGTTGTAAGTTGTAAGCATATTAAAAGAATTATGAAAATGATAATGCCGTTTTACAATTTTACCCATAGACCATATTGCATTCATTTCTATAATCTAACTTGTGCATGGATTTAATTTACCCCTTACTAATGTTGAAGAGTCCCTATTCGACTTCCAGAATTATCACTTTGCATTTGAAACAGATTTTCCGGCATGACTATATAATTGGTAAGTCCATTCTGAAAGGAAAACCGTATCTTGCAGAACTTTTACATATAAAAAAAACAACGAAATAAACAAAAATGATTCAACAACAATGTCCTGGCTGTTAAAAAACAATTGAGCAGGAGCAGGATTTGGGCTTCTGATTCATTAAATTATCGCCGCCACAGACTAAGTTACCCGGTCAATGGTAGTGTTCTGGCACATTAGCATAAAAGTTATATCTAAAACGAAAGTAAGGGGAAGTCTCTGTTTGTACAAAAAATGCATTGGAATTATCTTCTTATGTTTTGCCTGTAGTGGGGTAGGAACCTTTAAAAAACATATTTATAGTCATCAGAAATTGCAAAAACAGTATACTTAATCTGATTTAAGTCACATCACAAATTGCAGGGATTTTCCGAAAATTGCAATTTTATTTATAGTGGACACAGTTGTGAAAATATTTAAAGTCCTCATATAAATTGTTCTACTAACCTTTAGCAACGAGTGATTCATCAGGCATTGTTTTGTAGATGTTGAGTTGCATCAGAAGTTCCTGAAACTTTGGAGCAGGCCAGTAACGTTGGTCACTTGTCTTCTCTCCTCCTCGCTGGAAAAATCTCACAAACAGGTACTCGCTGAAGATGGGTCCCATGGAGCCCTTAGGGGGCCAGCCCATCTTCTCCATCAGGAGGGGAATCATGGGCTTCCCAAGACTGACAGCCAAGTTCACCTAATGAGCAAAGGTATAAATTAGCATTTACAGGTAAATAAAGCACACACCTTGATAACATATATTTAAGTAAGGCAAATTAGTATTCTTCACGGGGTGGTTATATTTCGTGTTAATTTGTTTGGATGATCATTTGAATCAAAACCTAGTCATTCCAGTGTGATGCGTTCGTTTTGTAGTTCATTTATAGCAAAAAGTCAAAGGATAATATCCTCGATGGTATAAAATTAATCATTTAGTCTTTTTCCTTTTATCTGAAAAACCAAAGATGTCACACAATTAAAACAAAACCTTATGGCCTACTGGGCTAATTATGATAACAATAAACCGTATTTTGAGCCGATTACCTATTTTTTTATTTAGTTCTAAAACCGGCATTATTAATACACATTTTGCAAACATGCAAAAAGGATACCCAAACTGACAGTTTGGTGAATTTTCAAGGTTTTCAATTCATTAGGTAAATACTCTTGTTTTTTTATGTTTTTCAAACTCTGTATTTTGCAGCTCCCCTCTCCCTCACCTCTCTGTTACAGTTGGGAGATTTTGCGTACTTCTCCGATACACAACATATGATGACCTTAGCCCCTCTGATTCCATTGTCAATCTTCTCAAAAAGTTTATCCCCGCCTCCCATTTGTCCAACATCCATCCAGCATTCATAGCCGGCCATGAGGAGGTGTTGCCTTAGTAGCTTGACCTCATTCTGATGAACCCATTGGTAACTAAGGAAGATCGGAGGAGGCTTTTTATATTCGGGGGCTTCCACAACGATATCATCTGCAAAACAAATTCGAAGGAAACAAACGATAATATTTCTACTGATCTTCATAATTGCACAGCAAATAGGACGTTTTGTAACACTAATTGAATCTAATGTGATAAAATTAGGCAAATAAGAAGCATCCCTTATGATAGAATAATGCCAACAAAAGGTAAGCAAAGAAATGGTTCTGTGCTGTATTAACAGCTATAATTATTTTAACGGGTTAAAGAATGAAACATATCATAGCCAGTTAGGTATTTATCACTTCAATAGCCCTTCATTTCAGCAAGCTAAAAGACATATGTAATGGCTCCAGGCCAAATTAAGCACATCTGACTCTGTAATCTTAAAGAAAGAAAAACAAGTGAATACCAATGTTTAAAAAAAACAATCAAAGACATCGACTACATGTCACAAAGAAACGCTATGACGGCCATAAAACTTGTCATTAGTCTTCATCTATAAGAAACTTGAAAGCCTTTCACTCCTATCAAGCAGAAGGTCAGATATAATTATATATTATATTAATTTTTAGTACAAGTACATATACTTTGAGAAGTTTTACACATTTGATCTATGACCTAGAAACAAATTCAAGCTAAGTCATTTATTAGAACAAAATTGATTGCCCTTCTACCCTAGCAAGCAACAGACCAACTATTATCAGTCATTGTCCAGGAACTGTTAATATTGGCAGAACAGATGGCCTTTTTAAGACAATGTGAGAATTTGAGACTTGATGATATTGTAGCATGTTGTGGTGTGTTATGTTGTATAAATAAGTCATTTTTGTGTATTTAGTATGACCATATAGTGTGACACTGACCAACAGCCTTCATAGCATTCTCTACGATGATTGCAGCGTCCAGTCTGTCCATTTCCTGCAGACTGGTCAGTACTGCTTGGGTAGCCTCGACTGTCTTGTGGGTAGCGTACCATTCGCTGAGAAGGGCCATGCAGGGATCATTCTGGGTGGCCCATGCTTTGATGTCCTTTGGTGAATATCCTAGACGTTGGGCCAACAGTCTCCAATCGTGCTCAGACTTCGGATTCATCAACTTGGTAAGATCTCTTGACCATGCTGGAGCGTTGGACATCGTCTGTGGTACAGAGTTTTACAAATACAGACAAATGGCAATCTGTATGTTGTTTGTAATTTTAACTTGCATGGAATAAAATCACCTCAAAATAGAACAAAACCTATTTTCGAACAAATGTTCAAATCAAAGGAACCATTTACTCCTCTACACCTTCACAAATGTAGCATTTGCTATAGTAGTGTACAGTCACAAAGATTTCCTGTAAATGTATAGTATCTATTTCTTCCAAAGAGAAATAATATAAGAAGTCTGTACTTATTAAACAGAAAGATGACGTGGAATACAGTTACCTAATTGAATAATATTATTTTGATACCTTAACTGCAGATATAATAATCGAAATTATTAAATGTTTGAAATTAGAATCTACATTAAACACACGGCAATCTATGATAGGTTGAAAGTTATGAAAGATGTAACTTATAATGGGCATATAACACGAAAAACAAATTCTACCTTGTTGTCAATTTCCTCAACTTTGACCTTTGTATCGTCAAGATCTTTTTGCACACCATCTACACGTTTGTTGACCGTTTTAAGTCCAGTTTTCACGGTTTTTATTTCTCTGCCATGCTTGTCAACGGTGACCTTTAACCCTTTGACCTCTACCTCAGTGTGTGTGACCCTCTCATCAAGTTCACCAACCTGTCTCTTGATATGTAGGACTTCAGTAGTGATGCCCGTCATACTGAAAGTGAATTAATGTTTGTAGCTACCATTTAATGATGAACCCACACTTACATGTAGCATCAGAACCATATATTCGCTGGGTTTTTTTCACAAGGAGGAATCTACTTTAGAGTAAAAATGTAAATTGTTTTAAAAAACACATACACTGTTTGGCTAGCTGTATATTGATTTTGCTCAGGAAAATTTCACAGATACAAGGGATTGAACAATTTAGTTAAAGAACAAAACACCAATACACTGTCACATCATTAACAGAGTATTTAAAATTACCACAATTTATTCTACACAGTAACATTGTTAGTCTGTATCATTTGGCTTAAGAAATGTATCTTCACCAACAACTACTCTCCAATAGGGAAGAAAGTTTTTTCGTATAAATTTGAATTTAGCTATTGAGTATGGCCATCTGGAATGTGATTTCTTTTGTAATTAGAATTTGGATTGAGTAAATAAACAACTAGACAAACGGGGTACCTGACACCGTCCATGGCATTGATAATTGATGTACACATGTCGTTGAGAGAAGAATTTTGTCCATTTTTCTGCAAGTCTTCAAAGTACTTGCGATGAGGTTTAAGAGTGTTGACGCCATATTTAGCTCCCAGAGTTCGGAGACCATCAATAAGGGCAACTTGTTGAATGGCATCCTTACTCTTTTTTACCAGAACAAAAAGCTCTTCTATCAAACTGTCTGCTAGTTCCTAAATTAATCAGTAGAGAAAATGCATATCTTAATAACATTTTTATTTTAGTCAAACCGAGGTTACATTTTTTTCATTTTCATTACCTTTCCATATTTCCAAACCAACCAACTCATTAAATAAATATCGTAACCAGAGATACTTAAAAATGAACAAATATAAGATAAACTAACAGGCATTGAATAATACAAGGATCCAATGAGAGTTAAAAAATATTCAGTTAAATATATGCTATCGCTAATTGGATACTATAACGTGTTACTGCCATCGAATAAAGCAACTAACGAATCCAATTCATATTAGCTAATAACACGATTTAGTATAAATGTTTTCAGAAATGGTACATTTTAAGATTTTTGTAAAAAATAAAGACAGTGATAGTAGGGCATGTTTGGTTGTATCTATCTATACCTTGAAAAGGTCCTTGGTTTAAACCGAAAAGGTAACATTAATCTTATCATTTCCTTCGACAAAACATTTAACTATCAATGTTTGTTTACTCAGCTGTGCAAATTACTATACCAGCTTGCTGTTAAGAAATCTAACAAAATATTGACATTCTCCAGGGGCCACAAAGCCAAAATTATTTAATCATTAACCGGATTTGCTTCAAATACATGAAATATTAATGAACATGGTTATAAGTGAAAAAAGTCATTCTAATTCAGTTTAACTATTTGATAGCATACCTGCTTTTTTAGGCCTAAGTTAACACAGATAACCTGAATTGCAGCTGCGCTTCTCAAATCCAACTTTGGACTCTGGAGGACTTGTGTGATTATGTTATTTCCAAACAGTTGTGGCTGTTGTGGAATGACCTCACCAAAAACAATCAGGGCCACCATCTGTGTCTCGTTGTTGGGCATAAAATGCTTGATCATGTAGTCAATATGTCCTTGTGTGAAGAGCTTAACAGCAAACATAAAGATATTATCATCAGTGACATGTAAAGACTACACAGCAACAGGAGGCATTACTAAATAAAAAGTGACATATATCTTAGCTTAATAGTGACATGTGTCTAAACTTAACAATGATATAAGTCTATACAAACAATGACATGGATAAATCCAAGACTAATCTATTATATTCTATTAACCTTTCAAATAAAAGAATATCTAAAGAAAAATCATTTATTTGATCATTTATTTTTTCCATAGTTTTAAGCGAAAAAAGACAAAATTTCTGACTGTCTTGAAAATATCAAAGCTTTAGTTGTAAACTTGTCTCACCCTTAAATTAGAAGAACATATGAATACTTAAGAATTTGTTTAATCTTTTTTCTTTAACCATCAACCTTGCTGTGATCACCACCAGCTGGTTGGGCGATATTCGAAATTTAACCTACCTCCGGCTGATTTTCAGCCATTTGCCTGATTAGTAGAACCTGAAAAACAGCATTGGTCTGTTGCGAGTCTTCTTCTATGGCTGACATCATCATATTGAACTCTTTCTGTGTAAACCCAACACTTTCCTCATAGGGCTTAGGGAGGGAATCTGAAAAATGTAACACAAGAGGTTATCAGTGTTCTTACTGAATTGAAATCAAGGCCAAGCCCTCAAATTCCACAATTTATCAAGATGATATTTATAACTAAAGTAAAAGTGAAAGTACTGTAAAAGTGGACATATTTGTGTTTTTGGTGTTGAGTGAATGTGCCAAAATAGCCACATGTGAATGTGTGTTTATAGATTATATGGATTGTTGATCAATAGAATATGAAGATTTAAAACCATTGCAACACTTTCCACACCATGATCAGTTTAAAGGGCCACAACACGAAAAAATCCACCTTCACATGCCATATTGTTATTAGTTGCTAACTGTCAACAAAATATGCAAGTCAATTGAATAAACATTTAACCTGCTTACTAACATAAAAAGTTGAATTTTCCTGTAGTTTCACTAGTAACTTTAAGTTGTATACATGGTGTTGGCCAGATTTGTAACCATGCCTCAATGAAAGAAAATGATATTACCTATTTGTGAATTATCAAGCGCATATGTACATTTTACGGATAATATATGTGCTTTAATATAAAAATACATAAAATTTTGATATTGGTACTAGTTTACAACAATCAACTACGCCACAGTATATATTGGTACGGATTCCTTCCAAAAAGGTTAGGAACATATTACAGTTGTTTGTTGTTAGATATTTATAACACATACATAAAGTAATTAAACTATCTTTTGTAGATACACCTTATAGTGAAGTAGATAAGGACAATGAATCGATCAAACTGGTACGTAGTCTTCATTTTCAGAATTCAGGACAGATCACATCACTACGTACCACTCCTGATCATTAACAGTTTTTTTTTATTTAATTTCACATCTATGTTATATCTTTAAGAAAATTCATTAAGCTTGAACTGTGAAATAAAAATGTTGCTAAGAAGCCTAGACGGTACGTACGTAGAGCAAAAGTCGCATGTTTTGTGCTGTACCACTCAGCGAGAGCCCCGATATCACCGGCCACAAGTTTGGGGTCTTTCCTGCTGATTTCAAAGATAACGGTGTAGCTTGCTTTTGAAAGCATCTCGTCTTCATGGTTCATCTGTTTTACTATGGCTGGTACCAGTCGTGAACAAACATGAGAGCTGTCTGTCCCGACATGCTACATAGATATACCGGTAATGGGTCATTATTTATAGTGTGAACAATACAAAGGTCAAGGGTTACCATTCAATACAAAGGTCAAGGGTTACCTTTCAATACAAAGGCCAAAGGTTACCATTGAGGGTGTGCATATTGCCCAAAACCTAATTTCTGTTTACTTTATTGTACAATGAGGGTTTTATTCATATTTGATTAAAATGATGAGAAACAGCAAACAAGAGACCTATCAGGTTTGTATTGCTCCTCTGTTTCTATTGTAATCTGAACTATACAAGAAACTGAGATAATTAAAAATATTAATACATAAGCAAAAATTCTTATGACAACTCTTTTTATATTATTTGAACTTTTACCTTTGACCCTTAAACTCTTACCTTTGACACAAATAGTGCCAGATACTGTGTGGCAGCTAAGCAATGTACTGTAGTTGTTCCACGCTCCATTTCTATATACTCCAAATCTTCATTGCATACAAGAACATCTGAATCAAGCTTCTGTTGACATCATCTGGTAATTCCTTTCCAGAACTAAAAATCAACAAATAATTCAATAATTCTTTGCATAAATATGTCTTAACAAGATGAACTGAACAATGTAATGAAACAAGGTAGACTTATAATTGTTGGCAGTTATTAATTTTTTATAGTTTATATGTAAGCAATTATCAACTTTTGACGTCTGCTTTTTAAAAAGTCAGTCGAAGTCACAGTCCCAAGCTAACAAATAAGGACAAATCCATCAGGAGATGTGAATCTTAGAAATCTAGATGCTACTTTGTACTGAAAAGACAGAAGGGGAAAACCCTTTCAATCTGGTGTACGTGTTTTAGACAGTTGTAGAAGAGGAGGTCACTCTTGATACAATATACTTTAAATTCAGAAAGGGAAGTCTCTTTCAACAGGTTATACTATATAGACAGAAGGGAGTCTGGTCACCCTTGATATGTTGTACTGCATATGAAGAAGTACATGATGTTTGAAAATTTGTCTGGGCAGGGTTTGAGATGACAAATACAAAAATTGCCATAACTCTTTAAAATAAATGTCAAAACCTCACTATAAATAAATATTAGGTGCACAGCTATATGATGTTTTGATTATACATATAAAGTTTTATTGAAAACCACTTATTAGTTTATTCACTGCCAGAGAGACAGACAGGCGAACAGCGGACAGACGGTCGGACAGACCGACAGATTCCAGTATACCTCCCCAAACTACGTTGCAGGTTAAACTACAATATTTCGATGCTTTAAGTCTCATTGCTTTATTGGCACTTAAGTAGACAATTAAACACTTTCAATAACATCTTCAAGTGGTAGAATAGATTTAATCAACATACATTTGTATATTATATGATTGAATATATAAATTAAAATTTGAGAATCTTGAAAATAAAAATCATAAACTCAGGCCATTATGTTTTTGGTGATTATTTTTTATCCATGAAAAGGTAATCAGTCTCCCTCAATATAATCTACTATACAAACAGAACGGAAAATTCGAAAACTCTTGATCTTGACAATTTCAGGTTTGCTGTTTTCACAGTAGGGAAGGGAAATGTATTTTCTCTCAGCATATTCTATGGTGAATGGGATGGTTTTTCCTTACCTGTTCTACTGTAACATGCGTGTTACCTGTAAGCTTCGAGGACTTTCAGCATCAGAGAACAGCCACAGGTCTGTGTCGGTAAATCATCCCAAATGTAGTTTTCATCACAGAACAACACGGCCAATCTCTCAATCACATTTGGAATGATATGTAGATTTTTCTGTAATGAAATACCTTTTTGCTTCTAAACATCTCTCTTCCAATAATAATGATATAAAACTTTCAATGATGGTCTAATACTTCTCACTTAATCAATGCTGACATCCTTTTAATCAAAAACAGTTTATCTTTCCAGACTCCTGAGGGAATTCCATAAAAAGTGAGTCAAACTTATTGTTCAACATAGCAATCATTACCTACACACATTTTCTTAATATCACATCAATTTAAAAGCAACATCACAAAGATGAAGTTTCTTTCAAATAAGCTGTTTGGAGAATTATCATGAAAGTATGTGCATTCACACTAACTAAACAGTTTACAATTATTTTCTTTAATTCTTACCTCCTAATATTTGAACAACTGAATTTGCTTAACTCTTTCCAAATAAGTTCTCTGCAGAACATATTATCATGAAATGATATGTTTTCAAAATGATTTAACATTTTACCAGTGATGTATCATGATTGTTACCTCCAACGAGATTCTCACGACAAACGCTGCTATGAACTCGTTGTATGATTTGTTCCCGTTCTCCATCATAGTTATAGCCAGTTCAGCTATGTCTCCATTGATTTTTTCCTGAATTTTGGCCAAACTATTAAAACAAAATATGAAAATGTATCAATACATTCAATGTCACTCTGTTGTGAAATTATTTTTTCAAAGAACATCAAAGCAAATATAAACATGAAAAGAAAGTATCCCTCAATATTATCTACTATACAAACACAACGGATAATTCGGAAACATTTGATCTTGACAATTTCAGGTTTGATTTTTAAAAATTAAGGATGGAAAAGAAATTTCTCCCAACATATTCTATGGTGAATGGGGTGGTCTTTCTTAACATGTTCTACTGTAACATGCGTGTTACCTGTAAGCCTCGAGGACTTTCAGCATCTGAGAGAACCGCCACACGTTCAATATTGACATATACTGAAAGCTCATTATATTTCTTATGGTTAACATAATTAATCTTATCAAATAAACAATGTCTTCCACTATCCAACCTTTCCATTGATGCCCATGCATTACGAGTGTCAGGTGCTTTACCTTTTATCAAGTGGGACAGTCCATTACCACTATTCTAATCAGAGACCAACAGGTGTCATTCCCACTATAAACCTATCACATAACCAGTACACTTGTAGCAAACTCGGTCACATGAAGTTATAGATAAATATATAACCAAATGTATTCGAAATAAATCACACATTTCTTGGATTTTGAAATTAACATTTTATCATTCCGAAATATACCTACATGTATGTACATATTTTTTGTAACATTTGATGTTTATTTTGGACATTATGTGACTTTTTCAGAAACCTGTGTATCTTCTTATTTATTGAAGATGCATATATACTTTAAGATGCATGGCTGTTCTATTCATCAAATTATCACACATGAAACAACATTTATTTAAACAAAATGTTAAAATTCTGATCAATTTGATTAAACTATTTCAATATTAGAAAGAACCTAATCAACAAAATGAAATTAAAAATTCATGAGATCAACACCCAACAAGGTATTCGGAACTGCAGTATAAATTTATTTACGAGAATTGTTCCAGAAGCGAGGCAATAGCAGTTCCATAGTGGAGCAACACCTTGTCAGATTCACAATATTTGTTTTTCTTGTTAAGGTGGGATTTGCTTATAAATTGGATGATTTCTTGAGCTTCCTGGAAATTTTTCTGACATAAAATAAAAACTTTTTTTATTAGCATTTATTCTCTGAAAAAGTAAACGTTAAGATTCTACATGAATCACAAACTAATCGCTAGGAGTTATATGAATTTCAGATTTCTGGAAATGAAATGAAATGTGCACCGTAACTTTTAAACAAACAGACTAATGAATATTTCAATAGTAAAGATGTCATACTTTCCAATTCCAGATCTTTCTGAACTTCCCTTCCTGAAGAAGGTCAGAGCATTTCCAGGCTCCCCATTCCTTCTCATATTTTAAGAATCCTTTCACGATTGGTATCCAATCATTTGCTGATGTCTTCCTGCATAATATAACACAAGTTCTCTGAATCTTATGGCTAATACATTAATGTTTACTATTTCTCTTATTTAATTTCTTTCAACTTTTATAATATAATACACAAAGTAGACTTCAAGAAACAAAAATATTAACACTTTTTGTCAATTGCTGGCATCCATGCTAGAATAAAAGTCCTAAGGACTCAAAATGGGAAATAACATATCATCCTCAAAATGGGAAAAATAACATGTTACTCTCAAAATGGAAAAATAATGTGTTACTCTAACAATGGAAAAAACATGTTTCTCTCAAAATGATTAAAATAATGTCACTCTCAAAATGGGAAAAAATAAAATGTCTCTCAAAATGGGAAATACATATGTCACTTTCAAAATGGGAAAAATAATGTGTCACTCTCAAAATTGGAAAAATAATATCACTCTCAAAAAGGGAAAATAATACTTGTATGTCACCCTCAATGGAAAAAACATGTCACTCTCAAAATGAGAAAAATAATGTCTCTCTCAAAATGATAAAAATAATGTCACTCTCAAAATAAGAAAAATATTACATGTATGTCACTCTCGATGGAAAAAAACAACATGTCTCTCTCAAAATGAGAAAAACAATGTCACTCTCAAAATGGAAAAATAATGTGTTACTCTCACAATGGAAAAAACAACATGTCTTTCTCAAAATGAGAAAAATATGTCAGTTTCAAAATGGGAAAAATAATATGTCAGTCTCAAAATTGGAAAAATAATATCACTCTCAAAATGGGAAAATAATAGTTGTATGTCACTCTCAATGGTAAAAAAAAACAACATGTCACTCTCAAAATTGGAAAAATTATATCACTCTTAAAATGGGAAAATAATACTTGTATGTCCCTCTCAATGAAAAAACAACAACGTCACTCTCAAAATGAGAAAAATAATGTCACTCTCAAAATGGAAAAATAATAGTTGTTTGTCACTCTCAATGGAAAAAAACATGTCTCTCTTAAAATGAGAAAAATAATGTCATTCTCAAAATGGAAGGAAAAAAATGTCTCTCAAAATGGGAAATAAATGTATCACTTTCAAAATGGGAAAAATAATGTGTCACTCTCAACATGAGAAAAATAATGTCACTCTCAAAATGGAAAAATAATGTCATTTTCAAAATGGGAAAATAATGTCACTCTCAAAATGAGAAAAATAATGTGTCACTCTCAAGATGGGAAAAATAATGTCACTCAAAATAGGAAAAATAGCTATGTCACTTTTAAAATAGGAAAAACAATATGTCACTCTCAAAATTGGAAAAATTATATATATCACTTTCTTCGCGGTCAAAAGGTAGATTGTCACTAGTCAAAAGAGCAATACACCCAGTTCAGTCTCACTCTCAAATACATCATCCTATCATGTTCAGTCTCACTCTCAAATACATCATCCAACCATGTTCAGTTTCACTCTCACATACATCATCCAACCATGTTCAGTCTCACTCTCACATACATCATCCAACCATGTTCAGTCTCACTCTCACATACATCATCCAACCATGTTCAGTTTCACTCTCACATAATCATCCAACCATGTTCAGTTTCACTCTCACATACATCATCCAACCATGTTCAGTCCCACTCTCACATACATCATCCAACCATGTTCTGTCTCACTCTCAAATACA